GACCATCCCCCCTGGGGGGTGATTTCTCGCTTTCTGTCTCTATGTCTCTCTCTGTCTGTCTGGCGAGCGCACGCGCCCTACAGTGAAAATCTCTCCAAAAAAAAAAGGTTTTTCTTTCTTTTCTTTTCTTTTTTTTTCTTTTTTTTTTTTTTGTAGGATTTATGTGTACTTTCCAGAGAGAGGAGGGGAGAAAGCACTCCTGGGGGAATGGTCACACTACAATTTCTTTTCCTCCTTTTTTTTGTCTTTTTGGAATTTTGGGCATGCACACACACATCCCTGGACTAGGTCTGGGACTTGAACCATATGGTTGGCCATGTGAGATCTGACTGCGTTAATTACCAGGCCATGAAGCCGGCTTTCCAAGTTGTTTTTGACAAATGATTATCTATCATTACCTCAGTTTGAGACTCAGAATTAATCAGATTTTCTGATCTCCTGTGTACTCATATTTATAAGCAATTTTAATTCTAGGCCAGCGACACAGAGAGCTTTATTCTTTTTTATCCCTTATGGCAAGCCGGCTACCTCTCTCCTGATTTTATCTCTCTCAAATAGAATTTTGTTGAAAGTAGTAAGACACACTAACACAGACTAGTGTGTGTTTGTTTGTTTATATTTATTGGTTGTTAATTTGCTATAGGGTACGTGTGCTCACCAGAGAAAGGGAAAGTAAGAAAGCAAGCCATCAGGCCCAGGATTTGAACTGCAATTGACCACATGGGAGTCCAATGCCTTAACCACCACTCCACTCGCTGACCCCAGACCAGTGTACTTAATTGTCTTAATCTTTTCCTTTAGAGCTGTAGGTTTAATGAATATGATGTCTGCCTTCTAAGACATTATAGATGACAGTTTTATCAAATTTTTTGCTAAGACATAACAAAGGTCACAAATTTGCCACATATTTTAGGTTTGTTATGGTCTCACCCCACTTTTAGTAACACAATTTGTATATTCAAATTCCAGTGGTAGGGAACAAAATTCACTCTAACTTGTTTATTTACAAAGATATTTGGAAATAATGAATATTAAGTGGCTTACAGAATCATTAAGAAAGCTGAAAAAGTCAGGCTCTGAGTTAAGTTTTCATTGATAATATTGAGAGCCATGCCCTAGACAAGACCACCAAAGATACTTCTGGCTATTAGTCATGAAGCTAACAACTCAGTTGGAAGCTGTCAGGAAAGCTGTCATTTTTAGAACCATGCTTCCACTTCTAAGATGGAAAACCACATACCGAAAAACCGGGGCACTTCCAGAATGTTATTTACCATCAGAAATAGCAGAATAATAAACCATGTAATTTCCTTATTTTAAATCTTATCAAGACTCCTCACTGGGAAATGTAAGTTGTTTTTTTTTTTTCTTTGCATTTTGGTTTCTATAAAATAGGGACATATACTAGTAGGTAGTTATAGTGGACTGTTACATTTAAGTCTGCCATATTTGCCATACTTTGTAAAGTCTCAGCTGTTCCACTTAAAATTCTTTCTGATGATTGGGGCTGGCAGGTGGCATGTTGGTTGAAGGCACTGGTTTCCCACATGGCTAACTACAGTTTGAGTCCTGGACCTGGCAGCTTTCTTTTTTGCTTTTCCTTTCTCTCTCTCTCTCGGCAAATTAAATATTAATAATAGCAAATGGAATTAAATAAATAAATAATTTTAAAAAATTCTTTCTGATGAATCTTAAGTAACCCATCATCATTCTGGGTTTATAATTCTTTTTAAATCATCGCTTAGAATTTTTGAACTTTGGGCTCCTTAGAACGAGACTCTTGATGAATATACTTGTGCAAGTGACTTATATGAAGTCCTAGGGAAGATGCATAACAGAGTGCAGGAAGCAAGACCCAGAAGCAGGCCAGGGTATGGGAGAAGCCAAGCAGAATCCTAGAGAGTAGGCTCGTCTTGATCCTCAGGGGGAATGTAGAGATTGCCCCAACTTGAAGCAAGGAAGCTGTATTTTTATATTCCCATAATGGAAGTCTTTGGCTACCAGCTGCCATAGAAGCTTAGTTACTCTGAACACATTATTTTTTCACTGTATTAATGGTACATCATCTTTTTTTTTAACTGTTAGGTATTTATGTGTGAATAAATGTAAGAAAATTATTGTTAATCAGCTAGTTTATAAATTTAGAATCAAGAATGATAGTGATGCCAGAAACCACGGATTATCCACATGGCGTGGCTCAGATAGAGACACCTTTGCATTCTGATGATTCAGTGTATACTTTGTTTCAGTCACAAAATTAACAAAAATTTTATATAAAATTAACTTCAGGCTATATGTGAGGTACATAGGAAGGTCTTTAAAAAGCTTTTGAAAAGTGTGTATTATGAGAAACCTTCGTGGATTTCAAAATTGCTTTGCACTTAAATGATTTCGTACTGTAATTTCATTTTTCCATGAACTTTTTAAAGCCCCTTGGTATACTAAAATATAAATAAATTTTATCATAGACTTGGGTCTCATTTCCAAGATATTTCATTACATATACACAAATATTACAAAGTCCAAAAAAAATCAAAATCTAAAATTATTTTGGTCCTGAGCATTTCAGATAAGGGGATACTCAACCTGTAATTGAAGTCAATTGATTGAACCAGAACCCACAAAATCTAAATGGGAGGGGATAGGAAGCTCTAATTTTTCAAGTAAGTTGTTGAAAATAATGACTAGGGCCACTCCTACTTTTTATTCCTTGATTTCTGGACCTTTGTATTCTCTATAAAATGGAATGGCTTGTTAATTTAAGGTATAAATTCCATCTTTAAGAGCATCCCATTCCTAATGAGATCACCTTTAAGCTGCACGTTCAAAGGCTTTCGTAATCCTATATCAGGCCAGCAAGTAGGACCAGTAAATCCCATGTCCATATGCTGTTGTTACACCTCTTTTTCTGCAAAGAGGACTCCTTATTTTAAAACAGTATGTGAATTTTCATGTTAATAAATGAGATAATCTTATGAGTAAGTGTAATAGATAATCTTGTTGACCAGGGGCCATCAGGTGGCATGTTAGTTCAAGTAGTAAATCCCCACGTGACTGACCACAGTTTGAGTCCTAGACATGGCAGCTTAAAATGCCATGAGGCTGGCCAAGACACTGTGGGCAAGAAAGGCAAATTCATACCTAGAATATATGTCAGTCCTGGGGCCAGCAAGTGCTGTGGTGGATAAGGGCGCTGGATTCCCACATGGCCAACCATGGTTCGAGTCTCAGACCTGGTGGCTTGCTTTCTCACTTTCCCTCTCTCACTCTCTTTCTCTATGTCTTTCTGGTCAAATTAAAAATAAATAAATAAATTAAAATGAATGAATAAATTAAAAAATATATATATATGTCAGTCCCAGTCGGGATTGATTGCTATCATTTCTAAGTCAGAAGGCATCTAATATAATCAATTTACTACCAAATTATGGGTTGTCAAAAGATGGTACTGGAACAGAGGCAAAACAGGACTCATTTAAGAAATTTTAACATTGGGTTGGCCACATAGCATACTGGTTAAGGGAGCGGTATCCTATATAGCCAACTGTAGTTCAAGTATCAGCCCTGGCAGCTTGACAAACATGCTGGGCATGTGTTTATGCATGCCCCAAATCATAACAGGATGGAGAAATGGAGAAGGGATTGCAATATCACCACACACCACTGGGGAATGCTTTCTTCCTCTCTGTCTTCTGTCTCTGGCCACTGCATGTATATTCTGTCAATTATAAAAAAGCAATAAAGTTAAAAAATTTTTTTTTTTTTTTGCCATAGGGTACATGTATATATTAGAGAGAGACAGAGAGAGGGAAAGTGAAAAATCACCTACCAGGGGGATGGTCACACTACAGTTCCTGCTCCCCCTTTCTTTTGGGATTTTGGGCTTGCCCACACACGCACCTGGCATGATTTTCAAGCCACCGGTTCAGGACTCAGAACCATAGTCAGCTATGTGGGGTTTAGTGCCTTAACCACAATGGTACCTACTGGCCCCAATAAATAAATTATAATCTTAAATTTATAAACTTAAAAATGAGTGACGAGTAGGTGATGTGATGGTTAGGTGCTGGACTTCCACATGATCAACTTTAGTTCAAGTCCCAGACCTGGTAGTTTTGCACTTTCCCTCTCTCTGGTGAGCACATATGCCTTATAGTAAATGAGAAAATAATAAATAAAAATTTAAAAGTTCTTTCAAAAATAATTAAACATTATAAATTGAAAAGGTATTGAATAGTAGTTTAGGTTATTTAAGATTTTTTTCTCTTTTGGGGGAGGAGAGGTTTTTGCTATAGGGTGTGTGTGCTCATCAGAGAGACCGAGAGAGACAGAGAGACTGAAAAATGAGAAATCGCCCCCGGGGGGAGGGATGGCTATGCCACATTCCCTTCTCCTCTGGGATCTTGGGCACACACATACACATGCCCAGTGTAAGTTTAAGCTTCTGGGTCTGGGACTTGAACTGCAGTCGACTACATGGGAGTCCAGTGACATAGCCATTATGCCAACTGCTGGTCCCTAGGTTATATAGGATTTAAGAACATTTTGGGTTTTGTTTTACTTTTTAGAGCTATAAAGTGCCAAGCTTGAAATGTTTACTTCTTTTTTTTTTTTTAAAGAGTTATTCTATTTAACTTCATTATTACTATTGTTATTATTATTTTCCAATTTGATCAGAGAGAGACAGAGAGGGAAAGTGAGAAAGCAAGCCACCAGGTCTGGGACTTGAACTGCAGTTGACCCTGTGGGACTCCAGCACTGGTAACAACCATGCCACCTGCCAGTCCTGAAATGTTTACTTCTTAATTGGTTCTTTTGGACTTAGCAGCTGAGTATATAGTCTTTTTGACGAAGAAAATCTATATAATTTTGCTGTCTCTGAATTGAATTTTGTATAAAGCAAAAACTCTTTTATTTTTAATTACCAGATGCATGGATTAAATTGACTGTTGGATTGGTAGTAAAAGTTTATTTAAGTCCCTAGTCTCTTGAGATTGCACCAGCCTAACTTTCAAGCATATCAGTGAATTTGACACTAGTATGTAGTTTTTTTTTTTTTTTTTTTAAGGTTTTTGCCATAGAACACATCTGCTGGTGGGAGAGACAGGAAGAGGGAAAATAAGAAATCGTTCTGCCGGGGAGATGGCCACACCACAATCCTCTTCTCCATTCTACTCTCGGGATTTTGGGCAAACACGTACACGCACCTGGTGTGATTTTCAAGTTGCCAGGTCCTTGACTTGAACTGTGGTTGGCCATGTGGGAGTCCAGTGCCTTAACCACAGTGCTGCCTGCTGGCTCAAATATGTAGATATTTTTAATGATTGCTTCTTAAAATTAAGAATAGTGGTTTTATAAACTTGTCCTGTATTATTTTGAAATTATTAACTACAGGAACAATAAGGCTATGACAGATCCCTCAAGAAAATATTTAGCCAGCAGTAGAGAAAAGCAGCTGAGCTTGAAACAGTCAGAAGAGAATCGGACAACAGGTAAGTACTTGGTATTTATATATGATACGCATTTCTTGTGTGATGTAGCATATTAAACCAGAAATAAAACTAAACTTGGATATAGATCTTTATATTATTCAGGAAAACTGCATTTTCTGGTACTAGGTACTAATTATTGGACACCAATTTGTATCTAGTATTTGACTAAAATATTTTAAAGTGTCACAAATAAAAGAAAACTTGTATTCTTATTTTAAAGAATCCATACTTTACCACCTTCCTCTCTATTTGACTTCCTAGAATTAAGTTTTTTCATTGTCAAAGGATCTGAACCTTAGAATGAATCAGAGAAGTCGAAGTGGTTGAATTTAAAGTCTGCCAGTATTGTTACTTACTCAGTTTCTGAATATCTTGACATTGTTACCTAAAGCAGTTTAAGTTTGTTTTTATAAAATCAAGTAACTTGTGAGACTGTCTATAAATTTTTTTGTCAAATGTTTCCCATCTTCTGAAAGTCTTAGATACACGATATTTGGTATCGATCTGATTATTCTCTCAACCTAAAATAAATTGAAGCAAGCTAAAATATTGTATGATTTTGATAAATTAATAGTTTAAGAGAATCCAATTAATCAGGACTCTAGGAATGTTCTCTATTTAGTGGTTTGGGATTGTGACATTGACTCAGAAAAAAGTGTCTCATAAGTTTTACCTCTGAAACAATAATACTTTAAAAAGTAAAACTTACTTACTGGTTTTCAGCTTTTATAATCAATCTGTAGTTAGAAAAGAGAAAACTTAAGGATGTAATAATCTTTAGTAATGCCCAAAATTTTTAAAATAATTATTTATCTAATTCCATTTGTTATTATTATTTTTTAATTTGACCAGAGAGAGACAGAGAGAGAGGGGGAGAAAGCAAGCTGCCAAGTCCGGACTTGAACCATGGTTGGCCATGTGGGAATCCAGCACCTTTAACCACGACGCCACCTGCTGGCTCTAGTACCTACCTTGAATTTAAGGTACATCTTATAAGAGCTGATGTAAAAAAGAGGGGAAAAAGTGGATAGTTAAATGATTAGAAAATTAATGGATCAAAATGTAGGTTGTTTTTTTTTTAAGAGATTTATGCTGTAGGGCATGTGCACTCACTGGAGAGAGATAGAGGGACAGAAATCACCATCGTGGAGAGGGATGGTCTTGCCACAATCCTTTCTCCTCCATTTTCCTCTTAGGACCTTTGGAGTGCACACGCACGCACACATACCCGGCATGAGTTTTAGTTGTTTTTTTTTTTTCAAGAGGTTTTCTATAGGGCGCGTGCACTCACCAGAGAGACAGAAAGCGAGAAATCACCCCCATGGGGGATGGCCACACCGCAATCCCTTCTCCTCCATTCTCTTTTCGGGATCTTGGACACGCACGCACACATGTCTGGCGTGAGTATAAGCCACTGGGTCCAGGACTTGAACCACGGTCAACTACATGAGAGTCCAGTAACATAGCCATTACACTAACTGTTGGTCCCTCTGGCGTGAGTTTTAAGATGCTAGGTCTGGGACTTGAACCACCATTGACTATGTGGGAGTCCAGCAGTATAACCATTATACCATCTGCTGTTCCCATCAAAATGTAGAAGTTTTCAGTATGTTAAAGTTACAGAGTTAAACCGCAGAACTAAATTGACGCTGATAATTGTTGGGAGAAAGGATAATAAGAGTAGGGATGATGTAAGTAAGAAACTTCTAATTTTCTGTCAAATGTAGTCATCCAATAACTGTTTAAAATTAATAAATCAAGAAATAGAAATATCTAGCATTATGGAGGAAGTAAAAACACAGTAAGTTCATTTTTTTTGTTTTTTTTTTGGTTTTAATTTAGAGGTTGTTTATGATGGTTAGAAATTACAAGGAAAATTTGTGGAGCGTCAGGGCAGAGGAGTAGGTATTACAACTTTTTCCAAAGTATTTAATATTTTAACTTGTATATATATTAAATGAAAAGAAAGGGACAAAAGATTAAATATAAATATGCCCAATATAGAACTATATTATTAAATGAACTTCCGTGTTTGACCTAGGGATTAAATTTTTTTCTTCATTTGTTTTATAGGGCTTTTACCTTTGCAGTCATCATCTTTTTATGGTAGTAGATCTGGATCCAAGGACTACTCTTCTGGTGGCACTAACCTAGAAAGGTATGCATTAGTTGTATACCTCTTGATAAACTTGAGGTGCTTTCTTTTTTTCAGATTGTTGAGTGATGGAATAGGCTATACGTGAATACCCTACTTTAAATAACAAAATTGATTAGAGTCATAGGATCATGACATTTTAGTTAAAAATACTCTGCAAATATCTTAGTTCAATCTATTTTTTATGGTTTTCAACAGCTGAATAAACCAAGATCTAGGAAGATTTGTCCCGAGGCCATAAGTAGTAACTGGCATTGTTATTAGATTCTAGATGTATCCATCATCTCAAGTAATGTACATGTTAAGATCTCTCCCGTGGGGCTTTTTTTTTAACACAATTATTTGTATTTAATTTTATTTAGTATTATTTATTTATTTAATTTTTACCAGAGAAAGACAAAGAGAAGGAAAGTGAGAAAGCAAGTTGCCAGGTCCAGGACTTGAGCTGGTCATGTGGGAGTATAGCTACATAACTGCTTTGCCATCTGCTGGTCCCTTGAAGAAATTTTTAATTTTTAAAATTTTTGAGATATTTTTGCTATAGGACGAGTGTGCTTGACACAGAGACAGAGAAACAGAAAGCAAGAACTCACCCCATAGGGAAAGTGGCTACAATCCTTTCTCCTCCAGTCACCTCTTGGGATTTTGGGCATGTACACACATGCGTCTGGTGTGAGTTTTAAGCCACCAGTTCTGAAACTGTAGTCGACTATGTGGAAGTTCAGTTTTAGCAATGTAACCATTATGCATGCTATCTGCCGGTTCCTCAATTTTCTTTCTTTCTTTTTTTTTTGGAGAGGTTTTTGCTACAGGGTGCGTACGCTCACCAGACAGACAGAGACAGACAGAAAGTGAGAAATCACTCCCCAGGAGGGATGGCCACGCCACAATCCCTTCTCCTTCTTTCTTCTCTCGGGATCTTGGGCACGCACGCACACGCGCCCCGCGTGAGTTTAAGCCACCGGGTCCGGGACTCGAACCGCGGTCGACTACATGGGAGTCCATTGACATAGCCATTACGCTCACTGCTGGTCCCCTCAATTTTCTTTAATGCCAGAAGGCACATGGAAACATAGGCGGGAGAAAGAGCGAGAACACACTCCCAGTGTGTCCTAATCATGCTACAATTCTTTTTTCTTCAGTTCTCTATCCCATCAGAATCATGGGCAGACATGCCCACATATGCTGTTTCAAGCCATCAAGACTGTCTCAGACCCCTCTCAGCCATGTGGGATCTAGCTTGTTTTACACAGTGCTTTATCATATGTTAAAAGCCATCCCTAAAGAAATTTGGAAATTCAAAATTGGTGGCACGGTGGTTAAGGCACTGGACTCCCATGTGGCCAAGTATACTGCAAGTCTCGGACCTAATGGCTTTAAAATTATGCCAGGCTCAGGTGCACGTGTATCCAAAATCCTGAGAGGAGAATGGAGGACAAGGGATTACCATGTGGCCATTCCCTCCCCGCCTCCCCGGGGGAGGGCAGGTAATTTCTCATTTTCCCTCTTTCTATGTCTCTTTCTCACCTATGCACTTTCTGACAAAAACCTAAAAAAGAAAAAAGGAAAGAAAATACCAAGCTAGGAGGATTTTATGGACTAGTTTTAACCAAATCACCATAGGAAAATCTATGTAGTTAATTTAGTAATTCAATAAAAACAGCAGTACAAGAAGAGAAAATTACAGGTCATTTTTAACGTAACACAGAAAAGTCTAAAAAATGTAATAGTTGAATCTAGTAGTGTACTAAAAATTGTATTTGGGGACCAGAAGATGGCATATTGGTTACGTCACTGGACTCCCATGTAGGCAACCGCGGTTCAAGTCCTAGACCCAGAGGCTTCAAACTCAGACCAGATGCATGTGTGTACGTGCCCAAAGTCCCGAGAAGAGAATGGGGAAGGGATTGTGATATGGCTATCTCTGGGGGGTGGTTTCTCACTTCCGCTCTGTTTCTCTCTCTGGCAAGCTCATGTGACCTATAGCAAAAATCTCTATATAAAAAAAATTATATTTGGAGCCAGACAGGTCCTACCATAAAACACAAGACTCTGTAAGGCTGACCTATATAAGAAGATTCCTAGTTCAGGTCCAGAGACCTCCCTGAGTATGTTGGACATACATGTGCCCATGATCTGGGATTGACAGAAGCTAGGGGTGAATGGTGGCATTAGGATCCTATTGTGTATTCTCTCTTGTTCATGAAAGAAAGAAACTTATTTTTTAAAAAATTATCTACCAAAAACTGACATCACAGTACGATTTATTATAAAACTTTGAGAAGTATTTCTATCAAAATTAAGAGACATTGTTCTGAAGATTATAGCCAATACAAAAGGACCTCCCCCCCCCAAAAAAAAATAAAGAGCTGTGGGGACTCAAGGAAGGAAACAGAATTATAATAGTTTGCAGAAAACATGATCTGTTAACTCTGAGAAAATCACCAGACTGTTAGAAAAATTAAAAGTTTAGAGCCAGCAAATGATGTGGTGGTTAGGACTCGACTCCCATATGGCTGACCACGGTTCAAGTCCTGTGCCTGGAGGCTTGCCTTCTCACTTTCTCTCTCTCTCTCTCTCTCTATCTATCTATCTCTATCTCTCCCTAGTGACTTAAAGTAGAAATAATAATATTAAATCATTAAAAAGTTTTAAAAATTAAAAATAAAAGTTCTTCATAAGGTTCCCATAGTACAAGTTCAGCTTCCAAAACAATGTTTCTAGACCTAGCAATAATAAAAATTGAAAATGCAATAGAAAATAATAGGTATAAGATCTATAAAATTGACACATATAGGAATAAATCAAATATGTTATATTTTTTGGAGAAAAGGATGAAAAATTACTGAGGAGCATAGAGGATGATGTAAGTAAGATAGACCAGACCGTCTTTGTGGATGGGAAAGCAAAAGAATATTATTTTATCACTTATTCCCAGATTAATAAAAAAAAGTTACCTCCAGTTAAAATCTCAAAATACTTTTTTTTTTCTTTCTTTTTTTTTTGCTATAGGGCACATGCATGCATTAGGGAGAGGGGTTGGGGAAGGTGAGAGAAAAGTCTAAAAAATGTAATAGTTGAATCTAGTAGTGTACTAAAAATTGTATTTGGGGACCAGAAGATGGCATATTGGTTACGTCACTGGACTCCCATGTAGGCAACCGCGGTTCAAGTCCTAGACCCAGAGGCTTCAAACTCAGACCAGATGCATGTGTGTACGTGCCCAAAGTCCCGAGAAGAGAATGGGGAAGGGATTGTGATATGGCTATCTCTGGGGGGTGGTTTCTCACTTCCGCTCTGTTTCTCTCTCTGGCAAGCTCATGTGACCTATAGCAAAAATCTCTATATAAAAAAAATTATATTTGGAGCCAGACAGGTCCTACCATAAAACACAAGACTCTGTAAGGCTGACCTATATAAGAAGATTCCTAGTTCAGGTCCAGAGACCTCCCTGAGTATGTTGGACATACATGTGCCCATGATCTGGGATTGACAGAAGCTAGGGGTGAATGGTGGCATTAGGATCCTATTGTGTATTCTCTCTTGTTCATGAAAGAAAGAAACTTATTTTTTAAAAAATTATCTACCAAAAACTGACATCACAGTACGATTTATTATAAAACTTTGAGAAGTATTTCTATCAAAATTAAGAGACATTGTTCTGAAGATTATAGCCAATACAAAAGGACCTCCCCCCCCCAAAAAAAAATAAAGAGCTGTGGGGACTCAAGGAAGGAAACAGAATTATAATAGTTTGCAGAAAACATGATCTGTTAACTCTGAGAAAATCACCAGACTGTTAGAAAAATTAAAAGTTTAGAGCCAGCAAATGATGTGGTGGTTAGGACTCGACTCCCATATGGCTGACCACGGTTCAAGTCCTGTGCCTGGAGGCTTGCCTTCTCACTTTCTCTCTCTCTCTCTCTCTATCTATCTATCTCTATCTCTCCCTAGAGACTTAAAGTAGTAATAATAATATTAAATCATTAAAAAGTTTTAAAAATTAAAAATAAAAGTTCTTCATAAGGTTCCCATAGTACAAGTTCAGCTTCCAAAACAATGTTTCTAGACCTAGCAATAATAAAAATTGAAAATGCAATAGAAAATAATAGGTATAAGATCTATAAAATTGACACATATAGGAATAAATCAAATATGTTATATTTTTTGGAGAAAAGGATGAAAAATTACTGAGGAGCATAGAGGATGATGTAAGTAAGATAGACCAGACCGTCTTTGTGGATGGGAAAGCAAAAGAATATTATTTTATCACTTATTCCCAGATTAATAAAAAAAAGTTACCTCCAGTTAAAATCTCAAAATACTTTTTTTTTTCTTTCTTTTTTTTTTGCTATAGGGCACATGCATGCATTAGGGAGAGGGGTTGGGGAAGGTGAG